GACTGCAATGCAGAGGCCTCCCGTCTCTGGAAGAGCATTGCCGTAATTGGTCCTACTAGGCTCACACGTTAATTCCAGGGCAGCTACGCGAGATCGGAATTGAGAACTGAAGGTTGGAGTTCTCCAAGTGGAGTTCCACCAGTCGGACTCTTGACACCCCTGGGTGAGGGAAAATGTCACCTTTGTTTTGTTTTGTTTGTTTTGTTCCTAAAGTGGTTAGGCACTAATTTCTGAGCTTTTTAGGAATTGCACTACAGAAGAATGTAAACTGATGTCAATCTCTGCAGTTCTGGAGACAAACTCGCTGAGAGCAGTCAGTGCAAGACATTCGGAGAATCTGTTTTTAAAGAGTTGGCACCAGCAGGCTATGTGACCTAGTACACAACAGAGATTTTAGTATTTACTTTCCTCCTTAAAACACTTTGTAGCAGTTTCAGGTTTTGTTTTTTTTTTTCTGCAAATTTTAACTACATTATTAAGTAGAAATAGTTACTCGCAACAACTTAATTTCTAAGGGTCCAAGTCCCAGAGAATCCCTAGTTGTCAAAGCTTCAAGAATATCTTCTTTACCTACCGGCCCTTCCATAGCTTTGAGTCCTGTCATTTTTCCACCATGAAGCAACTCTGCAGACACACGGTAACAGCATGGCCTTTGTGAGTTGGCTCTGACAGATGCTATCCATCCGTAGCAAAGTTTGCAAGTTTTTTAAATCTCACACAGCCTTCCCAAGGACCCCAAGGCTTACTGCTAACAGATTCACACTTGACACACATTTCAACAATACAGTCCTGTAATTTGTGAGCAAAAGATTTGCAATTTTCTCCTGTCAGCTTCTTTTGTATTAGGCTGTGTATTAATAGTTCTGTTAAAAATTACCTGGAAGGCTACAATAGATAGTGGTGAGACTCTTTTAAAAGAGACCACACCAACAGGACAGAACTACAGGATCTGCAGAAGCCTAGTTTCATCGAGCTGGCAAATAAGTCCTCACCACACAGCTCTCAGTTCCACCCCATTGCAATGAGAGCTTTCTGGTCTGAAATTTAAGGACTTAAATTTTCAAGACTAAAGGGAATTTTCTGCTTAAATAATACTATTTTAAATGCTAAAGCCTTCATTGAAATATTGATCGGTAAGGCCTTACCCAGGGATTTTCCAGTTGCGTATTTATTTTAAAAAAAGAAAACCGTAATATTCAGACCATTCTTAAAATGGGACAATCAGCCTCAAACAAAATTGATGTAAATCAAAAGAATACCCTAGAATTTGAGGCACTGTGAGGTTTCAAATTTTGAGATCAGTTTCCTGGCTTCATGGAAACTAGATCAGAAAGTTGTTACATTTTTCTTATGAAAGGCTTTTAGTAGAGTTTTTTAGAGTTTTATTTTAGTAGAGTTTTATTTCTATGCAATGCAGAATTGACAGACCTCTGTATTCTTATATCTCTTCCTGGTACACAGTATTATTACCTAGTTTTTAAGCAATGGTGATGCTTATAACAGTTTTTTGGGGGAATGTTACATTGATCTCTTAAATTATAAACACTACAAAAATGTCAAAATAATGAGAACTGACACAACTTTGCCTTAAAGAATATTAGACTGGAACTTGTCATATTATGTTAAAGGAAGACTTAGAGTGTTTATTGATGTTTACGATTTTAATATTTCTGAAGGCCGTTACAGTGGCCTGGATATGTGCTGAAAGCCAAACTTTTAAATTTTTTGGTTTTTTTTAAACAAATAAATATTTTAAATAAATCCTATTTCAACATAGTGAAATTGTTGAAAATTGTCTCATAACAAAAGAAAAAAGTCATATTTAGTTTTTTTGTTTTAATGGTCAGTATTGGGAAATGAAAGTGTCTTTTGTTACCCTTATAAATATCTTGATAAATATTAGAAGTTAGCATTACATACAACAAAAAAATCAAAACTTTGAAGTATGACATTCAAATTGAGGTAAATAAGTTCAGACATTGTGTGGCTGTGTTCCAGTCATCAAAGGTCTTAGAAAAATTCCCAGTTTCTTTGAAAGTGCGTGTGTGGTGTGACATTTCCAGTGAGGTCATTCCGAGGTGAGAATTGTAAAATGTAAATAATGAGATACACAGGACACAAAGCTGCTGATCCATCAGATCTCTTCCCAAGTGAATCCCATACTTGGACTTGGGAATATTTGCTCGCAGCATTCTCTCTGATGAATTTCTCTCCAAAAGCAACCAAAGTCAGTAGGCCTAAAAGAGCATTTTGCATTTCCTCAGAAGATGTCCTCACGTTAGAAACACAGATCAGACTGATCCTTTCAACTACTTAGTCGTTTTCCTGAAATCGTGGCTGTTTTCAAGTGCTGTGGCAACCAGGTAGGTGTGGCACCAGCCACTTTGCTTTGTATAGTCTGTCATATATTAAAGTTTCTAACCCCATTTTTTTCTCCAAGAATGGGGAAAGTGGAATGTACAGATCAAAGTAGAATACGTTGGGATGAAACAACTGTTTCATCTTTTTTTAGAGCAAAACTCAATTTTCTACCTTGTTTTCTAATTTTTATTTCATGGTCATACTGAAAATTGGAAAATGTTTAAACATTAAAACTCCTAATTGTTAAAGACCACCGAGGAAATGGGAACTAGCACTTCCAATAAAAACAAATTTATTTTTGAAAGCAGATATATGATTGGGTATTTTAAAAAACCAGCATCATCTATATAATCTCCAAAAGATTATAGGAGTCAGCTTGTTAATATAGTAGTTAGTAGGTTGAGTATTTTAATTCACTATATTTAGAATTCTATAGGTCCTTTATTGCAAGAAGTCAACTTAGTTAGTTTACACTACACGTTATGTATGGAGGCGCAGTAGCAGTGGTAGTAACTTTGCCTGACGTCACAGCTGTGAAGTGTTTCCTGTTTGAGCACAGGCTGACCAAGGCTTGCACTCATCCATCCACTCACTCCAGTGTTTCCAGTGAGCACTTGCCAAGTGGGAATTGGGTTGCGCACCACCCTCCTCACTCCGTCATTTTGTCACTCTTCTTGCTCTCGTGGTGGTTTACTTAATGCCTTGCTAGTTTTACGTACTGATGACTAATGGCGTTACATGTTAGAGTCTTAAAGGTTGTAAGGGAAACCGTGTCCCTGCTCAGCTTGACCACCCATCTCAGAGGACGGGCCTGTGGAACCTGATCCCGTTGGCCATCCTTTCCAAAGTACAGATGACTCCCAAAGAATGAGTCAGGTGACATTTAAAGCAGTGGGCTCTGAAGAGGCTCAGTTATTGACAAGTCCCAAGGTTATGAAAGTGTCTTTAATCAACATTCACAAAACTACATACTGTGCTGGTTGAGGCCAAAGGTCAATGTTACTACACTGCTAATGGAGGGAGGGAGGGGAGTGTTGGTCGGGTATTGTAACAAGCCCCTCACATGCGTGTTTCTACATGCGCAACGACAAAGGCTTTGGTACTGACACTGAAGACCTCGTACCCTTCAGAATCTTCAGCTTCTGTTGAACATTTTCGTTTTAGGAATGAAGGAAAAGTCTCCCATTCTCGAGCCATTCTTTTATGTCAATTCTACAAAATTGCATGTAACTTTATAAATATTTTTTAAAAATATAGTTTTGTAAATATTTAATATTCTGCTAATTTGATTTTGAATTGTAAATGTCAAGTATTGTTTTTGAGGTTTTTATGTTTTATTATACTTTGTTAAAAGAAAAATTGTACATTTTTAGAATGTTTTTATGAGTAAATTTAATGTACTGAAAATAAAAAGTGAAAAAAAAAAAACATTTCATTTTATTAGGTCCTTGCCTCAAAATATGAAGCACACATCTTTTCAAATAAATCAGTTCTTGATCTCCAAACTTAGGGAGTCAGTCCTTTCTGCCTTCTTCCCAAGCTTTACAAAAGGGACACTTAGTCTTGAATCTGTTTTCTAGAGGTTCCCAGATTTTTAAAGAACGTCCTTGGTGTGGGCAGAAATGTGAATTCTTGATCGGGGTTTAAAGGTGTCACATGCAGCTCTGGCTTTCATAGCAATCACGGTTGGTGGTAATAGATCTAAGCATCTTTTGAATGTTTCCAAGTACGTAGTGAATGTGGCATTAACATGCCCTGGCTCCTAAAGCTCTGTCCTCTGGATTTAGTGGGTGGCAGTCTGAGGGTGCCTAGGACTGCATCTTGGTCATGAGCAATGCCAAGCACTAGAGGGAGAATTTGGTGCCTTTTCCCTAAGACCTCTTGGTGTTTTCAGGCGTGGTAAGGGCTACTGTTAGGTGAACAACATTATGAGACATAGCTGGCAGCCCCTGACATGGGGCACCTTGCTGTTTGGCTACTTCCAGGGCCTCTGAGTTGTTTGAGGGAACCATACAGGCCAGGCCTCTGGAGATGGGGGACATGTGCACATCTGAACAAGGAACTTGGGGAAGCGGAGCAGAGCATTTCCTCAACTCGCTCCCTGTGCCCTTCCACAGACGGGACAGTGCCTGCCTCAGCTTGAGTTGGGCCCTGGTCGAGTTTTCCAAATGAGGAACATTGGCCACTGCTTGGCTGGTATTGGTACTGTCTCTCTCCCGATGCGGCTCCCCAGTCAACTGAGGTACCTCCCGCAAGTCATGCGATGCCTTCCTGACCACACAACACACATGCTCTATACTCTTGTGTTTGTTTCCCTTTGTTCGTTCAGAACAACACGTTTTCAAGTGTTTAGTCTCAGATACCTAGGCCCCCCCATCCGCCCTCATACTCTGTGGCAAGCAAGTTCTCAGGAGAATTTAGTTTTGTAAGGACAAGACCAGGTGGCAGAACCTAGACCAAGGTGAAGAAGATGCCCACCAGACAGACCTTCACAGTGGGTGTCCCTCCCCCACCCGCTCACCCAGCACAGCAAGCCCAGCCCAGATGCTCCTTGTGAGGAAGGACAGTACTGTTTGGCTCTGGCTAGTGCAGGCAGTAAGCAGGACTGCAAGTCTCACAGCCATTAAGTTGAGCTTTGATGACAGTTTTTAGTTGTGCCTTTATTCATCTTAGTTCATTTAAAAATGTACTTATTTTAAAGATCCTATAAATACAGAGCGACTACCCACTAATGTGGATATAAGTCAACCCTCTCGGCATGGTATTTTTTTTTTTAAAAAGCAGAATTTCTTATAGGAATCTTATTGATCACACAGTAGTTACAAGAATGTCAGATATAATGACATACAATCTAAACAAGACAGGGCAATTAAGAATATACATAAGGTAAAAATATACATATTAAAAGTTAGCCATGTAGACAGACACATGCGGCGGCAGGAGTAGGTGATGGAAGGCTGGGGGTTAAGGGCCATATGTAGTAATGCCTGATCCCACCGTTAGAGTAAATAACTTCCACTAACTGGTACAGGTATTCCATACACGTCTTAAGTACACAAGGGCAAACTGCGACCTGCTACATGTAGTCTAACGTGGTCTGTGATCCTTTTGTGATACTCCCATGAAAATAGTAAATGAACCCCATGCAAGTAGGAGGAAGCACTGGTTATTCTAGTTCGACTTGGAAAATGTTTTTGACAATATCTGTGAAGAGAATACATTTCCTTTTACTGTTTTCTTCACAACTGACATGAGCTTAGAGTGGGAGAATTTCAACGGTGGTTTGACCTAACAGTGATAACTGAAATACTCTTAAAAATGTGGTAACTTTTTAATAACATATTTTAGTCACACACTTAACATAAAAAACATAGATCATCTGCAGGATTCTGTAGTTTCTACCACTGTCCTAAAGAATGAAACTGATATAAGTGCTTGTTTATTTACCAAAGCAGGCACTAGTTTGAGCTCTTTGATCAGAAAATATCTAAAACAAGAAATAACATTTTTTCTCTCTGGGCCTGTTACACCCCCATTTAGCCTGCTTTTTGCCAACTGTTACGGCAAATGTGTTTTGGGGGCTATGCTTGAGATTTCTCCAGTTGGTTAGAAACCCTTCAATAAAAAGTTGGCATGTTCTGACTTACTGTCTCTGAATGCTCAAAATGCAAGTTCCTATTGGGGAAAGAACATTAAAATAACTTGAAGATCTATTTTATTGGTAACTTAGAATGCAAAGTATTTTATTTTTAAACTTCTAAACTTGAAAGCAAGACAGCCTAGGTTAAATAATAGAGCTTTCCAAAGCTGAATGTGCTCACTTGGAGCTCAGTTTTTCTGTGTAAGGTACAAAAACAACTTTCTAAAACTCCTAGGCAGGAACACTACTGTTTTGATGATCTGTGATTTGGATGAACGGGTCAATCTCAGTTGGTAACATCCTTTTTATCCCCATTGGTAAGGGTTTACAAAATTCTAGAACAGATGCATTTTTCTAGTCTTACACTGACAATGTCATTCCAAACGTCTCCTGAGAGGCGTACACCATGTACAGGAACCCATCTTCGTCCTTCTCGCTCTCATACACTTCCGAAATCGGCGTGGACACACTCACCATGCTGTGCCCGTTCACTAACAGGAAGAAGGCTTGATTAGCGTTGAGCTGTAAGCGCCTTCTACAGAAAAGAAAATGGGGAAAAACATCGACACATTAATAAGTAGGGAGCATATGTAAAAATATCACCCACTCTTATTCATTTAAAAGTAGAAAGATTTTGTAAATGCTGCTTCTGGCAAAATTAAGCGTATACCTTACCGAGGACTTAAATTTCTCGCAAAGCACAAGACATTTTCTATTATATTCATGAATATTAGTGATAATCATTGATAGGTTCTTACTACCTTCTTGAGGCCAGTTTTAAACTAGGATGCTATCTGAAGAGTTCCATTAGTGTCTAAAATGTGAGAAAAACAGTTAAAATGCTTACAAATTAAGACCTAAGCTGCTACAATTTATTACGATTGTACCAAGTCTACATTCTCTCTTACTAATTTTGCTATACAGAACTTGTAACTTTTCTGGTTAAAGGCCATTTACACTAGATGTTATGAAAGGATAAGAAGGGACATGAGACCCAGAAGGTAAGAAATATAAACTGAGGAATGAAATAGCCTATAGTTTTAGTAAGCTTGCATAATCTTAATCAGAACTAAAGATTTGGCTGTAAGTGTGATAAAGAAGGGGAAGCTAAGCCCCAGCCAGTGTGGCTTGGTTGGAGCATCGTCCCGTACACCAAAAGGTGGCGGGTTCAATTCCTGATCGGGGCACATACCCAGGGTGCCAGGTCAGTCCAGGTCAGGGCACATATGGGAGGTAACTGATATGTTTCTCTCTTCCTCCTCCCTCCCTCTCTCTAAGATCAATTAACAAAACAAAAGAATGAGAAGTTGCCCAAAGAAACAAACAAATACCTAATTATCTTGATGAGTTCACTCATGTTGACATGATCAGGTACAAGAAACTTGGTCTTATCCAACACAGGAAGCTGCTTTTCACCCTTGTATCGTTCTATTATCACCTAGAAATGAAGCCAGAAATGGGATTTTAAAATAAGTCACTAACAGAGAAAAATAAAATACTTCCTATGTTGTAACTGGCACATTTGTTAGTTTCCTCATAGCTGTCCATCTCTTATAAAATGGTACATGAGAGACACAGTAGCTGCCTCCAGGGAGGTGAGCAGAGTGGCTACAGGGTGGAGGAAGAAACTGCTATGTATTTTGTTTTGTGGAACCATGAAAATATACTACCTAGTCAAAAAAAGACCTTAAGATTTAGGAGCACACAGAGGCTAGGTAGCACTTAAAAGTGTAAAGATCTGAATCTGTCTATATCAATTCTAATACCACCATTTCCTGTGGCATGGCAGGAACCTTGATAAAAGTGTTAAGATCTTAATTACGTGTAATAGACTCAGTTTTTTTAAAATACTAGAGACATGTTTCTCTATTTGACATGAAAATAACCCTAAGTATATATTTGACAAGAGGCTATGATTTGCTGGTTCTAGAGACAATTTGTTACTTGAAGGTGTCTTTCATTTTGATAAAATATTATTTCTTTAATGAGTATTAAAGTCAAGAACCTTGAACTATGCAGGGAACAAAAATAGTTTCACATTATGAACTGAAATAAATCCATTAGCTTCTTGCCATACTTCTTTTCTGGAGAGAAAAAAAAGTCAAGCTGTCATCACCTTCCTTGTTAAAATGAAGTTTATCTATGGCTGTGTGTCAGAACATGATATCCTCAAGGAAGTATCAGTGGGTAGACTACACCTGCCTGAGTTTAAGTGGTAGCAGAAATCAGAGACAATACAGAAATCGTAGATTCTTGGCCCAGGAAGAAGCAGTAGTAGAGAAGAAAAAATTCAAGACCTTAGAATACTTCATTAAAGGAACACACAGCAGCCTGGAAAATGCAAGATAAGATGACCTTAGGTACCTTCTGCTTTCAGCTGCTGAGTCTGGTCTGCCTGGGGAGAAGCTGTTCTAGCTACTCCTACTCACTATGCAGTGGTGATATCCATGAAAATTCGATCACCTATAAATAACTGGTTTACTTTTCAGTTCTTATTTTATTTTTCCTTTAACTCTTCTAATTGGGGAATGCAGATGAATAACTCATAGAATAAGACATTTTACTAGTTATGAAAAGTGATTTCTTACATTTTCATTTAGTGATAGGGCTATGGACAGGAGCACAAAAGAAAAAGCCACTACTGGGGAATGGAGACTGGAGGACCAGGGAGCTGCCTGTGCCTTGTCCATCTATCCACCCATCATATTCCCAACATGCTAAGTGGCTGAGTCTGCTTCTCAAACTTGTTCAGCATGTATCAAGCACATACATGGAGGTACAAACGAGATTTCTGCAAAAAACCGGAAACTATTAGCAGAAAAGACACATTCACATTTCAAAAGGAGTCTGTGGAATAAGTCCTGGCAGACTGCTGGGCTGGCTGTTTGTTTCCAAGGAGTGGCACCTATCAGTAAACAAACATAGCAGGTACTCAAAAGTAAAGAATTTAGCAGTAGAGTTTCTTTTCTTTTTTTTTTTTGTTAATCCTCACCTAAGGATATTTTTTCCCCATTGATTTTTAGAGAGTGGAAGGGAGGGAAGGGGGGAGGGGGAGGGGACAGACACATGAATTGGTTGCCTCCCTGACATGTCCCAACCAGGGCCAGGGATCAAACCTGCAAACCAGGTATGTGCCCTAAACCAGGGAATTAAACCCGTGACCCTTTGGTGCTCGGGCTGATGCTCCAACCACTGAACCACATTAGCCAGGGCAGCAGTGGAGTTTATAAGTGGTCTGCAGAATTTGTACGAGGTAACCACCATGTACCCAGAATTTTTAAAATCTCCAACAACCATACGGATGGGATTCTTTCCCCATTTTACAGATAAGAATATGACAGCTCCTCTCAGAATTTTAGTAACTAGCCCAACATCACTTATTAACCTTTACCCTAGGGCCTGAACTTGGCCTCAGCCTCAAGCCAGAAGTTTCTTTTGACAATTTCTCTCTAGACCTAGTTCACACCTCAGCAGAAACCTATTTAAAGGCCACCACCAAAGGATTCAGGGCAGAGAACACTGTTGCTGTTGGCTGGGCACTGCAATAAGCACCTGCGGCCCCTACACATGACAAGAAAGAGCAGTGTCTTTCCTCCATCTCCTACAAAAAAAATGCCAAATATAAGAGGAGACTTCTCTGGGGCATCAAAAGTCAGGCAGCCTGAAATGTGTAGTCATGCTTAAATCCTGAGAGCTACTCATTTCCCAGCAGTAGTCTTTGCTTTCTTCAGAAGAAAGTGGATATTTCCTTCCATTGATAAAATACTAACAGTTCTAACCCCTCTCTCCCTGTTCCCCCCCAAATAGTTATTTGTAAAGTATGTAACATTAAGAAAGCAAACTCAGACTTTGGAGGAAATAGAATGTGATTAAAAACTAGATTAAGATATCACAGATTGCCCGGCCGGGTGTGGCTCAGCGGTTAAGTGTCGACCTAGGATCCAGGCGATCACGGTTCGATTCCCGGTCAGGGCACATGCCCAGGTTGCGGGCTGCAGCCGATCAATGACTCTCTCATCATTGATGTTTCTATCTCTCTCTCTCCCTCTCCTTTCCTCTCTCTGAAATCAATAAAGATATATTTTTAAAAAAAAATTAAAAAATCTCAGACTGCCCTGGCTGGTGTGACTCGGTTGGTTGGGTGTCATCCCGTGCACTGAAAAGTTGCCAGTTCAATTCCAGGGCACATGCCTGGGTTGCAAGCTCGATCCCCAGTAGGGGGCATGCAGGAGGCAGCCAATCGATGTTTCGCTCACATTGATATTTCTCCCTCTCTGTCTCAAAATTATTAATATAATATATATATATATATATATATCTCTAAGATTTAGGATTCCTGTAAAAACCCTGTAGTTGCACACAGCAGCACTGAACTAAAGTTATACTTAAGCAGTACTCTCTTCATACATTTTGTTTTGCTAATCCTCACCTTGAGGATATTTTTTTCCATTGATTTTTAGAGTGGAAGGGAGGGAGAAGGGGGCGGGGAGAGAGATGTGAGAGAGACATCCATTGGTAGCCTCCCGCATGTGCCCTGAGGGGGGCAGAAGATCGAACCTGCAACCCAGGCACTGCCCTTGACCAGGAATCAAACCCAAGACCCTTCAGTGCATGGGCTGATGCTCTAACCACTGACAAACACTAGCCAGGGCTTCATACATTATTAACCACTGAAACATACATAGGTACCTGAAAGTACCTACCGGAATTTTGGTCGGATGCTGCTCTCGGATAAGTCGAACATCTTCTACTCTTTGTTCTGTAATGAAGAGACATAGCCATTATTAGGGGCCCTAATGCAGCTTGCTTTCCTGGATTTTTGCTGGTTGAGTTCCATATCTGAATTCACCTCTCCTTAGCTGTGGCAGAGCAAAGCCTTAGACACATCTTTCCTAGAACTGAAAGAAACCAAGCACTAACACTTCATATCTGGCAAAGGTTGGTATGTAAGGCCAAAGGCAATTACATGGAAACCAACATAAAACTGCATGGCTATATTAGGAGATATGATATAAGACCAGGGGAAAAAAGAATGCCCTATTTGAGTTTTAAATAGTTTTGTACAGTGCCCAAAATAAAAATTTAAAGCACAAAATCTACTGAATAACTTTTCTGAGAATATCTCTGTATTCTCCCCATTAATAAAATCACTTGTATTTCCAATAATTGTATGAGACTCTCTGGGGAATACAGGGGAAAAACAAGCCAAGTCCAGTTCTCAATATAATTGGAGGGACGAGTCATATATAAAGCAATATGAGAGCATATGATTAAGATGGCATTAATTAAAACCTAACAAAGATTAACAAAATCACCTTGATTTACTATGGTAGGATTCATTCTCATGGTATTTGCAAATAAATTACCAATGTCATGAAATTCCTGAGAAAGTGCTCATAGTGGTAGCTCCAGAAAAAAAAGATGCTAAGACCAATATAAAAATGAATTTATTCTGATGTCATTGCCAATTTTGTTTGGATTAAAAAAACATTTTAGTATTCTTCATAAAAACTATTGAAATAATTCCCATATTCAAATATGAACATGTAAGTTCTATTTGTATTTTCCCATCCAACATTTCTCAATCAGTTCCTAAGATAAATTACTAAATAAAAACATATTTGCTATAGACCAAGAGGATTGCAAACTCATGGATTCCTACCAGTATATATTCTTATTCAATACATGAAGATAAACATAAATTTAGCTATTGTTAATATTAAATGTAACCTAGGGGTTTTCATCTGTGATACTGTGATTTATAACAAGAAATATGTATTTGGCCCTGGCACAAAGCTCCCAAAACCCTTGAATTTTCCTAAGTGATATGAGTGATAGAGATGTCTTTCCTTATTCGTAACAAGCCCCTTTCAACCACACCAGAGTTCATGTTAATAAGGTGACTTTGGGAAAGCTTTTCTGGTTGCCAGGGGGACCAACAGAGAGGACTGAAACTTTCAGCCCCACTCTCTGACCACCTGGGAGGAGAAGAGAGGGGGCCAGTTGTCAGAAGCACAGGTAACAACCTGCCCTTGCAATTAGTGGTTGAAGTGTTAGGGAGGGAGGGGAATCTTGTGGGACTGAGCCCTTAACTTACTGGATCTGAGGCTATCAACAGGTAGATAGTGTTAGAATTGAGTTAAATTGTAGGACACCCAGCTGATCTGCTTGATGTGTAGAAAACCCACATGTCTAGTGTCAGAAGTGAAGCAATGTTTAGTACGATACTGAAAGTAGAGGAGACATACAGGAAGAGTTTTTTCTTTACATTATCCTTTGAACCCTTCTCTATTTCTGAGGGTGTGGATTCCTTCTCAACGCTCTAAGACCTGTCCCTATGATTCTCCTATCAAAAAACAGGTGCTCTACCACCTAGACTTAGCTATCAGCCCTCTCCACAACAAAAACCTCTATTTTGTCACAGATTATTTCAGAGGCTAGGAGAAATCAGAATTTAATTAATGCACTCTAGCAAGTGGATGATAACTTTCATATACCCTGGAATATGTTCCTTTAAAAGTGTATCCTAATAAATCTAAAAGTTAAGTGGAAACATTTAGGCATAAGGGGAAGTTTTTTTTTTACACAAGGAAACATTTATTTTGGTACATGAAGAAGGGAAAAACAAAGTAGACTCTAAATGTGAGGCTTCGAAGTCAGAAACTATAGTGTCAAAAGTTTTCTTTATTTTGATTTATCCCCAGAATATGGCATAAAAGGAAGACAAAAATGATTATTTTTTTTTTATTAAAGAGCAGGTGAAGAGAGTAGCACAGGAATGTCCTCAGTGTCTTGGTCAGGTGAGCCTGAAGCAATTGAGTAAATATGGTTTTGCTGATACCTCACTCTTTAATATGTTTTTATTTATTTGAGAGAGGGAGAGGGAAACATTGACAAGAGTGAAAAACATCGACTGGCTGCCTCTGGCACACCCCCTACTGGGGTTCTAGTCCCCAACCCAGGCATGTGCCCTGACTGGGAATCGAACCAGTGACCTCTTGGTGCATGGGACTATGCTCAAAAAACTGAACCACACTGGCCAAGGCAAAACTTCACTCTTTTTAATTAGACAGTTATCTTCAGAGGTCAATTGTACATTTGACAGAAGCACACCAACACCACAGATCAAAGGCACATAAAAAGGATAATTCTTTTAACTCAATTATTTTCTCAGTGCTATAAGGACCTTTTATCATTTATCTTCAATGAACTGTGCCTAGCAGTCAGGGACCCAGTTCTAGTCATCTCTGTATTCCCCCAGGGCTCAGGCTTATACATAGAAGATGGTTAATAAACAATAAAAGCTGTGAAATGGAAATACCACTCCAAATGCACATCGGGTGTACTTCCCCAGATTCCATTTCCTCCTGTCTCTAAGAATCCTTATAAGCCTTACAAACAGATAAAAATGGAGGATAGGCGTCTAAGGTACCGTATTTTACCAACATATCACTTGCAAAGTTGCTTTGAGATTCTCCAGAGCATTTAAAATAAAACTTCAAAGTAAAACTTCACCTACATACATTTTCCAGGGTTTATTTCACTGAGTGAAATGGAAGCATAATCAATATTTTCCCAATCTGTCTATAAAACTTAATATCCAATCTATCATGGAATGCTACCTAGATTTTGCTATAAATCTCACTCTCCTGTCTACCTATTAAGAGTAGTTGAAGCTACTTATTCTAGACCAACACAAAAACTTCCAAGACATGCAAACCCTTTCATTATTTTTTTAATATTTATTTTAAGATTTTTTTGTTGACTTTTAGAGACAAAGGAAAAGGGAGAGAGAGAAACATCAATGTAAGGGTGACATATCCACCAGCTGCCTCTTGCACACCCCCTACTGGGGATCCAGCCCATGTGCCCTGACAGGGAGTCAAATCAGCAACCTTTTGATGCACCACTGGAGGACGCCCAACCCACTGACCCACACCAGCCAGGGCCAAGCCCTCTCATTATTAATGGAGAGCCTTAAGGCCTAAATTTACCTTTGAATCTCAGCAGAACAGTGTCTGGGGGAAAAAAGTTCTGATATTAACTGGCCAATCCCAGAAGAAAATGGAGTGAAACTATTACACTTGAGAAGACCAAATCCAAAATTGCTTGCTCAAATATAATTTTTCAAGTTTATCATATTTTTCAAAACATTTGCAAGGATGCCCAGCTGGCATGGTTCAGCGAACGAGCACTGACCTATGATCCAGGAGATTGCAGCTGCACAGTTTGATTCCCAGTCAGGGCACATTCCTGGGTTGGGGGGCTTGATCCCCAGTAGGGCGAGGAGGCAACCAATCAATTACTCTCTCATCACTGATGTTTCTATCTCTCTCTCTCCCTTCCTCTCTCTGAAATCAATAAAGATATATTCAAAATATATATATGCAACGATACACTATGCATCTTGACTCAGAGTGTTGATCTACTTAATGTATTGGAAATGATGGCTACCTACCAGAGGATAGAAGAGTTCATCTCAGAAGGTTAAAAGTACAAGTCCAGACTCTGCCACTAGGTGGACCATAATCTTCACCTCTCTGGGCCCCACCCAGTTTCTTCAGCTACAAAAGGAAAGGGTTATTTGGGGTGGGCCCTAAGGTCCATTTCAACCCTCTCAATTACGGTATAAGACATCAACAGAGCTATATTCAATTTTAAATTAACCTAAACTCACTCACTTGGAAAGAGAAAGAAATGCTTAAGCTAACTGAAGCTGGTCTTAGATTCTATAGAGGTTCTTGCCAAAGAATTAACTCCCCTTGCTTACTGTGCTACGAATCTCTGAAAATTGTCAACTATCAGTGCTGCTAGGATAGTCAAGAGCAAAGAAAAGCAGTAATCATTGAAAGATATTTGATACTTTTCTGCAAAATGACTATTAAAGAGATCTTTAAAGAGGAGGTGGGAAGGAAAGGTGAGGTAAGGGAAAAGCACACAAATACAATATATGGGGTGGGCAAAAGTAGGCTTATTGTGCCATTATGACATTCTTTTGAGTTAATAAAGCTATTGTAATAATCATAATCTGCATGTCTTTTTAATATGAACTGTAAATCTACTTTTGCCCATCCCATATGTAAGATACACTAAGGGGGGTGGGGGAGCACTCCTGCTTGTTTACTCCCAGAGCCACAGGTTCCAGGTGAAATCCTTCTAATTCATTAGAACATATTTCTTCGGAATAACCTAAAAGTACTTTAAGCAGAGAAAAGTATAGTTCCAGTCATGAGAAAATGGGCATCTTTCCCACACATATGCCCCCAGTTAACTTTCAAATGCCAGTCAGTGAGAACAGAAGCCAGATACAGCAAATCTGCTTTAAATGCTGCTCTCAGGGTTGCATAAAAGCTAAATAACATTAAGAGTTCACTAGGGTCACTGAAAAGAAAACCTAACAAAAAAGGCACGTCTAAGTCTCATTAACCAACAAACTACCTCAAGAGGCTGTTTGAAAAGATATGCTCAGCAGGCCAACATGAATTTCACTTACTGACACTCCTCAGGCACAAGAAGTCAAATACTTATCAATAATGAGATCCAGAAAACCATACCCAAGCTCAAATGAATGTCTACCTCTTTCTAGACTCCAGGAATCTAGACAAAGGCACCACTGCTTGAGATCCTGAAGGTTACCACAGGGGATTCTCAGTGCAGTGGAAGCTACCTGTACTCCCAGATCTGCTATAAACAAGTCCTGCAAACAGACATCCACGGAGGCCACGTTGTTACTGCAGAATTTTCTTGCTTAAGAGGAGA